ATATATATATATATATATATATATATATATATATATATATTCTTAATTTACATGTGGTCACCCTCCAAAATTAGGATGTTCTTGGTCATCTGAGTAACAAATATAAAAATATAAAAAAATATAAAATTTGAAACAATCCCAGTGAAAAGAGGACTAAAATGCTGCTCATATATATGAGAACTATCACATAGTTCTAATTAAATGATAGTATCTAGTAACGCTTCTGTCGGTAACAGGGTTGACAAAAATACGAAAACATGAGGAAGAAAAATAGTCATAAAATAATAAATTACATAGCCTGAGATGGCACAATACAATTTCTTGTCATTTTAAGGTGTCTTCATTTCATGGATATTTAAAAAATGTTTTTTATTTCCAAGTGGAAAAGGCACAGATTTCATGGAATGACCCATTTACTGTCACTTTTGATCATTTTAATGCATCCTTGCTGAATGCAAGTATTGGTTTCAAAAATAAATATATAAACAAACAAATAAATTAATATTGATGACCCCAAACTTTTGAATAGTACTGTAACTGTATCGTGGTTTTCACAAAAATATGAAGCAGTTTTCAACATTAATAATAAGAAGAAATGTTTCTTGAGCAGCAAATCAGCATATTATGAGAAACATTTTTGAAGGAAATATTTTTTTTTTTACTTATTTTAAATTGGAATTATTTTAAAATTAGCTATTTTAAATTGTAGTAATATTTCGCAATATTATTATTTTTGCTGTATTTTTGATCAAATAAATGCAGCCTTGGTGAGCATAAGAGATATTTAATGGCAACAGGTTCTGCTAAAATTAATTTAGTTTTTATCTGCACCAATTAATCGGCAAAAGCATCTCATTTCTACATGTTTTTAACTAAATATTTTGGAGAGATGATGCAATACATTCCCTACTGTGAATTGTTCTCCTGTGGTCAGCAGGACTATTATTTCCAAAATTAAAAGAGGACAAATGTCAGTTTATCCGAATAAATGTTCTGTCTGGATTTACTTTATCGCTATCCGAGATGTTGTGGCATCTCATAGTAACCGGGAGCTTACGAGGTGACCCCGTCTCCTTACAGACACCTGTTTGCTGGCAGTGTGCCTGCTCTCAAATTGGCAGCTAATTTTGGTTTGTCCCATCATTCCTTAGGGACTAAAGTAACCTGACAGGCTGTTTGTCTACAGGCACACAAAGCGTCTCTTAAGTCGGTCCTCTCATTGGCTGGCATGACCGGCGCTCTGCAATTTTCTCCCTCTCTCTAGTTTTGAGAATTGCCATCAGGCCTTGAAGTCTTTGCAATTACTAATTATCAGAAAGCAGTGATTGCATCCTTCCCTTGCACCCTTCATCACCCGCTCTGTCTGCCAGCCTCGACTAGTATCATCATCCTAGTCACTCTGAGCTGAATTTGACTCATTTTTCTTGCTGTTTGACAGTGACAATGATGAGAAGCCGCTGAAGAGCAGCCATCAATTGTTCACAGACATCAAAGCGGATGATAGCAGCGAGGACAGCTCTGTGATGTCGGACGACGACGACTGCGAGTTCAACGAAGACGGGTCGTTCATCGGCGAGTACTCGGGGTACAAGCGTAGGGTGTCCACAGAGGTGAACGGACACACCCCGGTGACTTCTTAATGCTGGTTCAACCTTTTAAAAAACTTTTAAACTATTTTACAGGGAGAACGAGAAGTTTGTTTGTAAGATGTGCCATGAATGTGCCTATGTTTTGCTTTTGCGTGAATGGCCACTTCTTTACAGTATTAATATGAAGGGTGATGACAGGTTATAGTTCCGGCCAACATGAAAATTATGCCATCATTTACTCATCGCTGTACTGTTTCAAACTGGTACGACTGACTTTTTAAGACATTTAGTAGAATGTTCATGGTGCTCTTTTCTTACAATAAAAATAAATGGTTACCAAGGACTGCAAAGCTCCAAAAAAGGACAAAAATATGTCTATACCCTTGTGAAAAAGAAGTACACGTTAGCATACTTTAAAAAAGTACTTACTATGGAAATAATATACTTTAAAAGAATACTTAAGTGCAAACTGACTGTAATGGTTTGTAATGGACACTTAATGATGTTCTTTGCAATTAAATAAAATGTGTTTTAGTTTAAATTTATATTAAATCAATTTAAATTTAAGAGTGTTTCTTGACCCACTCAAGTAGTACATCTTTATATGTAATTTCAGAATTCTGTTTTCTTTGAAATATGGTTAAAGTGTACAGTTGAAAATATTGACAAGCATTTATGGTAAACTAAAATATACTTTAATGTCATTTCTTTTGAAACTTGTTTGTCATGTATATCAATATATTTGTAATTACACATTTGTAATGATGAAGTTGCAATTAAATACATTTAAAACATTAAATGTAATTTGAAAGAAAAAAATGTTTTTAACATGCACTTTTAAGATATGAAATACACTACAAGTGCACATTTATTACAATTAAGCACATTTCTTTTTCACAAGGGTATTCAAAGTCTTCCATACAATATGAAATTTAAGTCATTGCTCACTGATTATCTGCTGCAACTCTCAAATCTCATTCACATTTGCGCATATTCAAATATGGCACGACAAAACGTATCAGGTTTTATATCAATGATGGAAGAAAAAATAAGTCATACAGCTTTACTTGACAGTGAGTAAATGATGACAGAATATACATTGTTGGATAAGCAAATAATTTAACATCATTTTTGGTTTTATGAAACATTATTTGTCCAACAACAAAACAATCAGGTTTGTGCACCTTAGAATTCATGCGGATTGCACGGTTGCGGTTAGATTAGGTAACGTTTTCACTATTCCTGCTGAAGAAGAAATAAATAATTCATGGTCTGTCACAAAACTGATGTCTTGACAGCACAATTTCCGGTTACATGTTCGCTTGTGTGGGCAATCACGTAACCTCTCTGCACGCCTCTCAGCAAGATACTGACACAATGAAACAAAACAATTATGTTCTGACTCTTCAATATATCTACAAAAACATATTTCTATTTAACCACATATTTGATTAAAACTGACATTGGCGCTGCCATGGGAAAGAAATCGGCGAGAAAGGTCAACACTGAATGGTTAGATCCCATAATTTTCTACTTGCACTAATATGCAAAAATATGTTCTAGTGCATGCAAGCAATACCGCCATAAGGGGGATTATGTTATCAATAATGTACTACGATTGCCTTAGCTTCTTTAAACTATGAGACTCGAGTATGATCAAGTCCTTCAATATACTTTTGGTGTCTTCAGCAAATCTTTTACATTTTGTAATTCTGTTTTGCCTCCAAAATCCATGTTCTTAATAATATATTATGTCCGGGCCGCAATCCAATGTAATGTCAATCCAACTTGAAATCTCGCTAACATATTTATTATTACTGAGAGAGAGCCCTTCTGCTGATATATGACATGCAAATTTTTTTGTAAGTTCTTTTTTCTATTTTTGGAAATATTTAGTTAAGAGATTCCACTGTAGAGACTGTTTTATTTTTAAAATGCTCTTCTGTCCTTGCACTGTATATATACAGTATATATCTGTAGATAATATTTTTGTAAGTTTTTCTTTTTGCATTTTTCTTTTGCATTTCATTCTGCCTGAAATATTGCTAATACTAAAGACTCAGGAGGTTTTGTTATAGAATATTCTGTGCAAAATGTTCATCCTTGTATCTTCAGACCTGAAAAATGTTTACTCCCACATTTGCTATGTTTTGCTATATTTGTCATGCACAACACAATGAAATGTTGACTATCACAACACATTTTGGTACAATGAACCTAAATGATTTCAGTGTTCACCACAGAAACACACAGGGCAATAAAAATGACTTTTAAATACGTTATAGAAACATTTTTCAGTTTATATAAATATTTTGGCTCTATATAATATAGATTTTTTTTCATTATTAGCATTTAGCAGTTTGTGATTCCAGCACAACTAGGAAGTATGCATCAGAAATCCAGGTAAACTGTTTCCTATAAAGGAGTTGTGGATAAAGATTTTTCCTTAGTAATATGCTGACACACGTTCTTATGGAGAGTGCCATATGACCTTTGACCTTGCGCGTCTCCACAATACAGCGGCACACCAATTAAAAGACACACAGTGGTTTTGAGGGCACAACCTCTACAATTAGAGCCAGTGTTAAAGCACATCCTGATGGGCCTGAACACATCCCACTTGACTGGGAAGAACTAAAACATGTATAAGAGGGTCAGCAGATTAGGATCACTACATATAAAACACACTGGCCAAGACTAAATGAAGTAGACCGTAAAATGGCTTGATGATTGTTTGGCCATTCAATATTATTTTGCATATATTGGTATACTTTTGTAATAGTGTATAGATCAGAAATCTTCAAAAGTGGGTGAAAAAAAAAAATGTATATAAAACAAAACAAATAATTTCAACCAAAGCTATACTATATATGCTAAAGTTTCAAAATGTTTAATTGTCTATCTCACATAAAAATATATCAAGTAAATTTTTAATATGATGCACAGTATGTACAGTAACAATGTACATTAAAGTGCATCATAAAATACAATAAACTTTAAATTCAGCACTCAATTTATACAATGTTTCTCCATCTCGCTATAAACCAAGGAGTCCTTGTACTGAAAAAGCTTGGAGACCTAGGTAGAGAGTATGTATATATATATATATATATATATAATGAATTTGAAATTTGACAAATGGTACAGAAGTAGAAAATAAAGTCACATTTAATTACATTTCTGAGTCCAGGATGAAAGTCCAGAATGAAAGAAATTCTGCTGTGTATCAGTGCACAAATACTTGATTTACTATATCAAGCTGTCATGGTAACCTCTGCCTACTACAGTGTCTTAGACTTTTACTTTATGGCAATTTAATGATGTTTATGACAACTGAAATACCTGCTATGGACCTTACTTCTTAATTTTTTTAAATCACATAAATGCTTTTCCCTTCATCACAAATCCCAATTTCAAAGAAATGTCCAGGGCAATTTAGCAATGTTCTTGTTACCCTTAGAGGTGACTCATTTCTCTTACAAACTGAATATGCTATTGGAGAAGGAAGCTGTCAAGAGTAAATCCACCCTACAGTTTCTACGGTCAGGCTGGAATAAGTGTCAAAGCTAAATTCAAAAAGAGAGAAATATATTTAAAAAAACAACCATTGCATACTGAAGAAAAAAAACAAAAAACGAAATAAGAAACAGAAATGTCAAATATTTGTAAGATATAAAAATTTGTCTTAAAATACACTATTGGCTTTAAAAAAATAAATCAGTAACACTTTAAGGACCAATTCTCACTATTAAGTAGTTACTTATTAGCACGCATATTACTAGCATATTGGCTGTTAATTATAAAGCACATATTAATGCCTTATTCTGTATCAAATTAAGAATTTATTGAGGCAAAAGTCAGTTAATAGTGAAGAATTGGTCCCCAAACTAAAGTTTGCCTCAAAAATCAATAAAGTTGTGAGATTTATGCTGATTTATTTGCTAATAGGGTAACAAAGTGTGTATATTCTATGAAAATAATTATTATACAGGATACATATCTTTCTACTTGTAGTTAAGTGTGCTATTTAGTAGTTAAGTGTGCTATAAAGTTGCTTTGCAATGATTTGTATCGTGAAAAGCGCTGTACAAATAAACTTGACTTGACTTGACTATTTATTTGTAATTATTTGTGAAATACTAACAATTTCTGAGTGAAAATGACCTCAGTTGTATTCAGCTATTCAAGCCATGTGAGTATCTGATCTCATGCAGACTTTGCAGGTGAATTGCCCTTCTTCCATTCAAAGCTCTTCAAGATTAAATAGGCATCCAGCTATAATCAGATGACTCCATGGCTAAAGCACTTGAAAAGCACCCAATGCTTACTGCTGAAATAAAGGTCATTCACAACATTAATCCCTGCTTCGTGCTGGATTCTTCTTTTATCAGATTCAACGTGTAACACATAGGTAAAGTCTGTAGTGAACCACAGTGAGCACCTGAGGTCAGTTCACCTGAATTGTTTTATAGTACCACATTTTACGTAAAATACATACAAATTATCATGAGATCACGTTGACTTTGTTGACCCTTGTCAATAATATTTCCATCCATTTCCAGTTCTTTTGGTGATATGCTTTGCTCAGTTGTTAGGGATGTAATTATTTGTGAAATACTAACAATTTCTGAGTGAAAATGACCTCAGTTGTATTCAGCTATTCAAGCCATGTGAGTATCTGATCTCATGCAGACTTTGCAGGTGAATTGCCCTTCTTCCATTCAAAGCTCTTCAAGATTAAATAGGCATCCAGCTATAATCAGATGACTCCATGGCTAAAGCACTTGAAAAGCACCCAATGCTTACTGCTGAAATAAAGGTCATTCACAACATTAATCCCTGCTTCGTGCTGGATTCTTCTTTTATCAGATTCAACGTGTAACACATAGGTAAAGTCTGTAGTGAACCACAGTGAGCACCTGAGGTCAGTTCACCTGAATTATACATGACATAAAACTCAACTTTGTTGACCCTTGTCAATAATATTTCCATCCATTTCCAGTTCTTTTGGTGTTATGCTTTGCTCAGTTGTTAGGGATGTAATTGACTACCACAGGCATGTTTTTAGGATTGAGACAGACTAAATTTAGATCTTTTTTTTTTCTGAAGAAAATGTGTGCTTGGGGATTGGGATTTTGTTTGTTTCCTCTGCAAGGTAAAATTCAAAAGTTTAATATCTTAGAGAAGTAATAGCACACCTCTCTTCAACAAGTCTGCCAGATGTTTTGAATTAGAACAATCAATGAATGTCCTGTATGAGATAAATGATTCACTTTTGATTCAGTTCATTTCAATGATCGGTCAAACCAGCATGAATCAGTAAGTCAC